CGATTTCATTGCGACGAAGATGAAAACTCATGCAAAGAACCCTGAGGTGATTCAAATATGGCTTCCAAAGGGAGGTATCAGCATGATCGCGGTCCCTGATGGGCCGTTTCAAGACGAGAAGGCGGATGCGGCGCTCTTCGATGCTATAAGAAGAGGACTCCAGGACAGTAAAGTCGACATAATCGAGGACGAGCGCGCGATCAACGATCAAAATTTCGCGCGCGACATCGCGGAGGCTCTGGTCGCGAAGATGGAGATCGGTCGGAAGGCGAATTGATGCGATGCCGTATGGCTTTGGGGTGCACAGAAAGAGATTGTTCAACCATCTCCATGCGCATGGCGAGCTGCACGGACAAATTCAAGCATGAAAGATGACATCTTGCGGCTGCTCTTGGCCCCGCAACCTTGGCGCACCTATATTTATCGTAGGGCTATGCTGTTTCCAACGTCCATCGCAAGGCAGCCTTACGCCCGTATACACGTCTCATACGATGCTCTGCCCCTGAATGGCTATGCGAGATGAGCAACAAGGCTATGTGGGTTCAGGCGTTCTGCGCTAGCTAGCCGATGAACCGTGACTGGACGCATAGCACAGCGGCTGGATTGACAATACTAGCGCTGATCCTGTGCCACTTGACAAACCTCACCAACTGCTTTTCTTGTCTTGTTGCTTTTTGAAGTACTGGCTTTTCTACTGTCAACTTCTATTTCGCAGCCCAACTACACTCTTTGCGTCTTTCGTCATGTTCGCACGCGCTAGCGTCTTGTTACTCACTTTGTCATGCATCGTCAGCTCTACCGCCGCGCTAGACTTGGATGTTCAGAACCAGGGTAACGGCGGTCGTCCCCACTTGCGTAACTAAAGCTTAACATCGATAGACTCCATCAAGAGTGCTGCAAAGACGCTTGCTAACGGTCTCGTTACCTTCTACAATGAGAGCGTGTCCGAATCTGGAATCCCCGGCATTTTCCCTGATCCCTACTACTGGTGGGAAGCCGGTCTCGTCTTCAACGCGCTGATCGACTATTCCTACCTAACGGGCGATAGCCAGTATGATTCCATTGTTTCCGAAGGCATCCAAGCGCAGCTTGGTGAGGATTTTGCCTTTATGCCGGCGAATCAAACTGGACAAATCACCAACGAGGATCAAACCACCTGGGCTCTAGCAGCCCTGACCGCAGCTGAAACTGGCTTCTCACCCGCAGAGAACAGATCGTGGGCTGAGTACGCTGCGGAGGTATTCGATGTGCAGGTTCTAAGATGGGACGAAGAAACCTGTGGAGGAGGTCTTCGTTATACAATCTTCACGTTCCAGTCTGGATACGACTACAAGTCCAATGCTGCCACCGGCGACTTCTTCCTCCTGGCTGCCCGCCTAGCCAAGCTTACCGGCAACGAAACTTACTCTGAATGGGCGGATAAATCGTACACCTGGGCCAAGGACCGGGGATTGATCAGCGATGATTATGATGTTTACGACGGTACTTCTACCAACTTGGATAATTGCGAGGATGCCAATCGCGTGCAGTGGTCGTACATCCACTCGGTATATACGGAGGGCTCTGCTATCATGCAGAACATCGTGAGTATCTCTCATTGTTTGACCCAGTCTCATACTAATAGCTACCGGTAGACAAACGGCGCACAGAAATGGACCGATGCTGTACAAGGCTTCGTGAACTCTTCCAACATCTTCTTCGAAGACGATATTCTCACCGAGATAGCCTGCGAACATAACGGCCAGTGCACTATCGATATGCGTTCTTTCAAAGGTATTACCGCGCGTTCGTATGCCCGTGCAGTCATCGCCGCTCCTTCTCTCACAGAGCCGCTCATCAAGAAGCTCGAAGCGTCCGCCAAAGCCGCCGCCGGTATGTGCGAAGAAGTTTCGGAAGACGTCAAGTGCTCGAACTCATGGGATCATGCGGATAATTTGGAAACTGCTAGCGACGGCAATTTAGGTGAGGTGTTCAGTGCGCTGGCAATAGTGCAAAGCTTGCTGTTCTCGAAGGCCAAACCGCTCGCTTCGAATGGGACGGAAGCTGGCGGTGGTGACAACGCGACGCAGAGTGGGGATGCGTCGGGTACATCTGGAGCTGAAGTGCCCAAAGAGACGGGCGCGGCAGGGACGATCGCTGCGAGTGTCACGGCGGTCTTGGCTGTGGCTTTTGCTGCGGCACTCAGCTGCTAGAATTATCCATCTTAGCAATTTCAATTTTTCCAGGATGAGCCCCAGCCAAGGGAATGTCGGAAAAAGGTACAATACGGCTACATTGAATCGCGTCCCTTTCATCTCATCACGCGTGGTATTTCCAGCACTATCTAGAAGACCGCGACGATACCGATGTTGATACTGAATACTCTCCATTGGTGTATCATGCCTTCATCAACCCAGTTAACGGTAAGTTGAACATGACTTCCATCTTTACACTCGAAGATAGCTTCAGATCTTGCCTCAGGACGTCGACTTTGACTTTCCACCTTGATATCCAGTGTATACGATGACGAGGATGGTCCATCCTTGCTCGAGAACTCCAAAGACAACATATCGAGTGGGGTCTCTTGGATGAGACGTGTATAAGTCATTGTTGTCGCATCCCAATCGTTTGGATCTCTTGGTACGTATTCCGCATCATAGGTTTGAGACCATCCTGTTACATCTGCGAGGCGCCAACCCAGTTTTTCGAAGAAATGCTTTGAATTATTGATGACATATGACTCATTGAGAGAGCCAAACTGTAATTTGAAACGAACGATAGTGACGCTACTCTCGGTGCGTTTGATGGCATCTCTGGTACTCACAAATACCGTTCTCAAGGCCTCGCGTCCACTCGCACTCAGGGCTGCACCTCTGTACACAGACCGTAGGGGCTGTTGGTCATCGTCTGTTTGGAGGGGATGTAAGATAATACCAAGCATGTGAGAGCGCATAGCAACACCTGCCGAGCAGCTAAGAAGCCCGACAAGGCAATAACCATGCATTGATGTGCTTTGTGGTACTTGCATACGAATCGTCGGAATTCGCAAGTTTATCCCAGTATTTGTAAGGGAAAGAGACACATCTGAGGCAAGCGGTAATATTAGATCCCTGCAGTTCTCGAATGCTTTTGGTGACGTCGCTAGTAGCTCCTGCGACTCCGCTTGTACTCCCCCGAAGACGGCTCTCAGCTCCTGCGGTGAAAAGAGAGCTGCCTCGCTGTTCAGATCCCAGGCCAGGATTGAGTCATCGCTGTCGCTCCTTCTTATGATCTCTTCTTGCAGGCGTGCAAAAGAGCGCTTGCCTTCTCCATACAGAAGTGGCATATTGATGTCGAATATCCCCAGCAGACAGTACGCAACGTCTTCCGGGCGACTTGTAACTCGGCTAGATGCCCATGACATCTTTCGTGCTATGCACAGGGTATCGAGCGATATTGCCTTGTAATGCGACGCATTGTACCCATTCCTTCTGTTGACTAGACCGTAGCGAAGTACTGCTAGATCTATTCTCGTAATATCCGAGATCGTTTGCGCAAGGGTTTGCCTATCTCCAAACCACAGCCAAGATTTGTCATAGAACAACACCTTGGTAGGCGCGATCAGCTCTTGTAACGTCCAGCCGCGGGTGAACCATCGGCTTCCTGGGAGCTCTCTCTCAAATTCATCGGCCGAGACGTCCTCTAAGAAAGCGTAACAATTGGTAGAGTTTGAATACCAGTAGAACATGGTATTGATAGCTTCCGAAAGCTCCGCGCTTGATGTTTTGTCGATACAGCACGTATCCACCCATGCATAAGCCAGTCCATCGCGTATCGCTTGGTCGCAGGTCAATTTAATCTTCTCGTACCCGGCTTTCGCTGTGGTTGAAGGCTGGCGCAAAGGCAAATCTGAGAACAGGACTTCCTCATGACCCCACGTATGAGATAAGATGGCGTATTTTGGGGTATTGTTGCCAATGAACTCCTCGAGCTCATAAGTTATGCAATTAATAAGGCGCATTTCCGAGGTACCTCTGTGCTGTATGATTTGTACGTGGTGGTCATGGAAGAGGCGTGTGGATAATACAACAGGAAAGACATTAGGCTGAGACTTCCCCGCTCTGACGCCCACCACGCTTGCTCAAGACTGGATCACACAACCACATGCTTACGCATGCAACGGTCAATAAAGCGACCATATCCACCTGAAAGAGCTGGTAAAGATTCATGTATCAACATCGAACTAGCTGCTCTGCATCGTAGGCGGATTTGGTGTGATCATCTATCTAACCCAACTGGGTATAGCGTCATGATCTGATTATGTCATCAAAGCCGAGTCTCAGAGCAACGCTGTCATGCGAGAGCTCATGCGGTGGCTGAGCGGAGGAATCTATGCGAGGTACCTACGAGAAGATGTACGATAGCCAAGAGTAAGCCAAAACGTAGTGTTGCGGCTGACGTTGGCTGTTCGCGAGGTGAAGGTGAAACCTGTATGTGATCGTGTCTATCGTCATGGACTTATTGCAGAGCCAGGTTTTGGCTATTACTGTTGTGAGATATCTGCAGTCACTTCGACTAGACACGGTCAGATTGATGGAAGCTATTGTAGTCCTTGTGGTCGCGGTGTTAGTGAGGGTATTGCGCTCTTCAACCCCTACAGACAATAGAGACTGTCGTATTGTCGCAACGTACAGCACTCAGTAGCACATTTTGCAGTCCTCAGCCAGCATGTAAAGTCAACTTCCTGCTCTTAACTTGCTCGTCCATCTCACACTTTCCTCATAACGACATACAAACCCTCAAAACAAACTGACATGTCGTCCACTTTCCTCTTCTTTGCGCTGGTCGCAGTCATGTTCTTCGCTCTCCAGGTCGCCATATTCAACGCCCTCAAGGAGTATATCCGCCGGATGGTGGAGGCGGGGGATCTTTAGATGACCGTCGTGGTGTTGTTCCTTGGGGCTCTTGCGGGCAATGCTGGCATTGACCTTGCGGAGCTCGGTATCGACGGAACCCAGTTCCAGACTTACTTGGAATACGCCATGGCGGTCTGTGATGGCCTCCCCTGTCCTCTCCTTCCACAAGGTATGTTTTCCTAACATATCCTTTACTGATTTGAAGACCATTTACTAATCATTGTCTAGGTGGCTTGCGCCTTCGTGGCATTCGGTATCCGCTGTCTGGGCTGCGCGTCATTGGCAACAGGATTGTCGAGGCTGGCCCCAGTGTCGTCGTCGCTTCCACTCCAGCCATCGTGGCCACTGCCTCTTCGGAACCCCCCGCCGGCTACAACACCTTCAGTGCCCCTCCTGTTATCATGCAGAACGCACGGAATACCTCCTGTGCGACTCAGCATGTCGCCCCTGCCGCCTCTCCATTTGTGTTTGCCGGCTTCACAGCCCCCTCAAAGTCTCCTCCAGCAATGCCATGTCCGGCGAAGACCTTCCCGCCTGCTCTGTCGGATCCCGTTCCCGTGGCGCCCATCCAGCCCGCCACAAATGAGACGAGACAGATGAGCTTCCAGCCAAGCAAGAGGCCGGGTACTTTTGGCGTAGGTGGCGGCGGGATTGGAAAGACGAGTGCGGCTCCGAGGAGGTCTTGAGCACGTCGGGTTTGGGGGTTGAAGCAGAAGCGTGCTTATGCGCTGGTGGACGTGACGGCCGTGTGTATTCGATGAGCGTGATTCGATGCTTTCAATAAAACCTGTTCAGATGCGCCAATTATCTCCTCCGTGTCTAAAGTGACCCAATAAGCAGGCTCTCTTGCGTTGAGCAACCATTATTGTGTGTTGTTTAAGTCCAGACCTGGGACTGCTCGACGATGCGAGGTGTTGCTGTCGGGCCCAAGTGGGCGCAGGTGGTCAGAAAGCTGAGGGCGGAATGACGCGTCATCTTCGCGTCGCGGGACCATTGGAAGGAGACGCGACGCCAAGAAGCTTTGACCGGGATTTTGCCACCCCACCCTGGGCACCCAATGCCTCGCACCTCGTCGGGAGCTACCTAGGTAGATGCGATCTCCACCACGTTATCACTTCTGCGCATTTCAGGTACATCATTCGGATATCATTAGGTTCCTTCTCTTTCGACAGCCAAACCGGATGCAATACGGCCGCCCAACGTGTGGCTGATCGAGTGCGCCTCCCTTGGGCAGATACGCGGAGGTTTAGCATCCATCTGCAACTCAACTATGTGCATGGGCTACGCAACCTCAAGCTACCCTGGGCGTTGTCACTGCATAGATACCGGCACTGGTTAACACTGCAAGTAGGCGATTGGGTTGACCGATTCTCTCTGGTGCAACAGTTACGGTAATTTTCTAGAACCTTCTTTACTAATGGGTCCAGTCAACATTGTGGAGTTTCTGAGACGTAAACATATGTTTTACCTACCCATTTCGCAGCTGTTTGGCAACATATTGCAGGAGACATTGGTTTCCTGACATCTGGTCATGGTCTCTTCTCGAAACCGCCATAGAAGCCATGGTATTAGGAGCGATGATCGTCTTTCGCGTGTCATAGTCGCTTGCCCACCTGTGAGAAAGCGATTCCAGGGAGATGGACAAACCTTTCCATCTCACTTCCATGTTATACGTCGCTAAATGCCTTTCTTGACCACCACTTCGCAGCTTGGCACACATTCGACTACCTTCCGCACGAGCGATGTCGCAGCCGCCACTCCCCGGAAAACCAGAACCTACATTTGAAGGTTTACCTCCTGAGATCTGGACGCAGATTTGCCACTCACGGTCGTCGTACGCAGACGGAGAGAGCTTCATCCTCGACCCCATAAGCTTTTCTAGTCTCCGGCTCACTAGTCGAATCATCCATTCGAAGACCCAAGACGCATTCTTACAGCGTCATCTCGCTTCCTCCAAGTTCAGCCTGATGCCATGGAGTCTGGCGATTCTGAAAGACCTGTCTGAAAACGAGCATTTGTGCACATATGTGGAAGAGTTGGAGTTCGGCCCAGAGGTATTAAACACGAATCTGGATGCGGACCTTCGATATATCAAAGAGCCATGGGAAGAGCCGTCTATGGGATGTCCACATCCTCAAAGCTACATATACGTGGATTCTGCCCGACCAGTATGGCCCATGGTCAAGCTTCCGGAGCCGCTATGGAAAGGCCTTACTGGAAGAGGTTCAGGATCAGCATTAGTGGTTCGTTGGAATGTCCGAGGTGGCTATACCCACTGGCTTCAAAAGTACGAAGGCACGCTGAAGAGACTGGTCGAGCATCAGAACCGCTTTAGCACAGCAGCCAAGTACGTTCGAGATGCCATCGGAAAGCTTACGAACTTGAAGAGTATCAAGATCAATCCCCGTCCTATAGGGGTATATTACGAAGAACGATTCGCCAAGCCCATACTACGGAGTAGAGGTACCATGTCGCTCTATCGCGCAGTCGGAGCACACGCCATCGAAGTGACCACCGATTTGGCCCCATCTGGTTCGAAAACTCTATTGGACTTTAGCCTCGATGGCCTTCTCTTCATGGAGTATTACGCCGAGGTCATCATGCTGGAGAATCTCTCGAGAATACTGAGCACGGTTGACTTGGACAAGCTTACAGTTGACCTGACAATCACTGCGGCGAACCTTCCATCGAACGGCAGGATTTATGATCCTGGTCATCAAAGCTGGAGAGCCATAGCTCTGCGGATACGAAATCTAACCTTCGATTGCGCAATGAGCGATATCGATGGCAGCAAGGTTCCTGCCTTGCTAACATGGATATCGGAGATGATGATCTATGCTACTGCCGTCGAGCACTTCTATGGACGCAGCTGTGACTTTGAGTACCGGATGTTGCGGACTGTCTTTGTGCAGTCTTCCTGGACCAGTCTTCGGACGCTACATCTCTTTCGATCTCGTAGTCACGGGCGCAATTTGCTCCGGATGCTTCTCCGTCATCGCTCGACACTGGAAGATGTGAGCTTTTCGCATGTCACAGTCACAGGTACGAACATAGCAGCATGGAGAGACATATTTGTGGCAATGAAAGACATGCATCGGCTCGGGCGTGTTACGCTTGAGCAGCTCGAAATACAAGGCGGCCTCGATATGTCTAGCAATGCGCCATACTCATGGGCTTCTAAGTCACTCACATCTGATCGGCTGAAGGCCAAAGGGTACGAGAAGATTCGCTCGATGTTAGACTTCGCGATGCAGCGCATAGTGCTTCTTTCGGGTCGAGACATCACATTTTGGCAAGTACATTTCGAGGTTCCTCCATAAAATATCTGTGGCATCAAATTTGAACAACTTTATGAACTCGGCCGCTTCTATGGGTTCAAGGTGAGGTGCAAAGAAGTACGTTACGAAGCTGCTATTTGAGTTACTTGTTTGAAAGCGCTAGCATCGCAAACTCGACGAACTTGGGTAGGAAAAGAGGGCCCGACTGTAGCTCCAGTCATGACCTAGGTAATTGTAACTCTCCTGGAATCAAGCCACCATCCAGAGTCAAGTAATGTCGCTGAATTCCACTTCTGGTACTATCGCAACATGCGATTATCGACCATGTGCGTCTGAGTAGAGCAACGAGTGCGCCTACATGCGGAGTTTCAGATCGCATGATGACGTTGTTACATTACTCGATTTCTCACTCTTACCAATGCAGAACACTAACTCGGCGAAGAAGGGTAAGCACTCCAATGAGGTATCAGACAGTACAATGCATGATTTCGCCATGCCCGCGTATGCTATTCCTCCAGTATGCAGGGCTGACCAAGCTGGTACATATAATTCGGCAATGCAGCATTATCATACGCTCTACTCATGATGCGGTCGCCATTAGCGTGGTAACATTCGAGCTTCTACTGGCATCTCTGGAGATAGGTTACAGGTAGCGACGCCGCGAACCCTGGTACCACATATGGGGCCACCGTGCTCAATCGCACCTCATTAACAATAATCACGGGTCTATGAAGGCACACGACTTTATTCAAACCCCGTAAAAATCTTCTTCATTAGCGATTCTAATCGCTTCAACGAGATCACAGCATTCACGATACAAAACTTCCCGACCAGAAACCCAACATCTGGTAGCAGCATACATACATTCATCGCCTACCATGTCTTCAAGCGCTTCAATCAACTCCGTTGATTCTCTCGAGGAACTCTATGGCACCAACACAGCTACCGTGTCGCATGTTATTGAAACGCCCATGGAAGAGGTCCGACGCTTCTTCCTGGGCAAAAGCCATACCCAGATATAGCAGTATGGCCTTGGTATGGAGATACCTGGCGCACCACCACTAGCGGCGCATACCATCGTTGTCACCATGGATTGCGAAATGCACGAGATAGAGCCACGAGTGCTGACAGAATATGGGCTCAATACGTTTTCGCGGAAAGAAATGGCGCCAGTTCTCAGAAGTCCCGGTATACATGGGGAAAATATCTTGCGGAATATCTACTACTATCACATTCGTGTACGCGAGAACGCACACCTTATCAACTGGAGGTTCGTCCGAGGAAACCCCGAGAGAAATCACTTCGGCTCAACGCGCTTTGCCACGAAGGAAGACGCAAAAGAGTTCCTGGTCGAAACACTCGCGTGGCCTATTGATGATGACAACGAGGATGGTCCTAAGTGCCCAGTCATATTTCTCGGCCACTCAGTCAAGAACGACCTGCAGATGCTGCAACAAGACCTTGGTATCGACCCCAAATTCGACAGCAACGTCGTCGCTATCATCGATACCCAGAAGATCGCGAATGAGCAGGGTATTCGTGGAAAGGGCCAGCAAATCGGACTTCCAATTTTGATCCAACACTTCGGCGTGGAGTTTCGCGATGGTCACACAGCTAGTAACGATGCGGCGTACACCATCATCAGTGCCGTACAGATGGTCTTGAAGAATTCGCTGCCGACCGACCCAACCCGCTCGCTGCAGGACGTTGTGAACGGTGTCGCTGAGGATAGTAAGGGGACTGTTGTGACATTTGGGTTGCCTAGAAGGTGCACTGAATGTAAGGTTGCCAGCCATCTTGTTCAGCCAGGATGCAGGAAAAAGTTCGTTAAGATAGAAAGAGGGGTGAGGAGTAAGTCTTCCAAGCGGCATGATCGCGCTGCTTGCACGCGTCTTATGATCCTATGTTTACCGATGGGGTGTTGGTGGAGGCCTGGTGGGCTGACGGGCATTAACCTCCCTATTTCTTCAAGATGTCGCTTAGTTGTCACTTCAGTTCAGCAAGCTGCATTATTTGTATCGCAGCGTATAGTATTGACACCTCAATTTATCTCGAATATCACCGCATCCAGATGTTACCCTCCCCACCAACCGCGCGATCGCTCGACCTCAAATCCCATTCATTCATCATCCGATCTAACAGCACCTCCCCTTCTTTCCAGCTCCATTCCAATAAGTTGTCGTCACATATCCTCCTTGGTCGTTCCTTTTCTTCTCTTTAGGCCAGCAGCACGCCATGCAGACGAGGATGAAGAAGAGAAGCGCAACTGTGGCTGCGAGGCCGATCATGATGGCTTTGCCGTGAACGCCGAAGTAGACATACTCGTTGGGGTTGGTGGAAGTGGCGCTTTCTGCTGGTGCAGTGGAGGTTGCGATAACAGAGGTAGCGAACGTTGTAGTTGCCATGGTGGCTTTTGCTTGGGATAGATTGCTGTGATATCTGATGTTAGTCGTCATGGCTATAGACTGACAATGATGGAATTCGTACCTGTGAATGCCTTGATCTAATGCCAGTCTGACGTGTAGCTTCTTCAATGCTAGATCACCTCTAAGGTGTGTGAGGTCGAGCTGTCAGTACGCATAGAGCTACAGCGTGCTTTTATCCGTGGACTCAAAGGCTTCTGCGCACGGTATCCTCTCACGACTTCCACTTTGACATGGTCAAAGGTCTCCTCAATATTCTGTCTCAACGTACACAACCTATTGAACTCGGTTATTCAAACGCGCTGTTTACACAACTTCTCGCGAGAAGCAATGATCTTTTGGAATAACATGCGGCTATCCTTCCAAACAGGTCCATAGCCACAAAGAGGCCGGCCTCAGCGCTTGCTAATCTCCCAACGAGTTGAGAAAATGCCCGATAGGGCTGAACGGCCGACCCGTCAATACTTACACTAACGGAAACCTGCATGGAAGGTTGGTAGAAGGCTCAGATATCGTGGGAAGAAGGTGGTGTGACCTTAGTCCTGGTGAAGAAGGATGAAAAGGAGCTGTAGCTCGTTGAGTAGAGCGACACTCAATATCTTTCAGAGTAAGATGGTTATCCAACGGCGTTTCTCGATCCTATGTCGGGCCTCGTTGCGTCCTTCTTGTCCTGAGCTGTAACGATTCTGCCTTGCGACAACATTGTTCCACGATCCAATAAGGCGGATGTCACTTCACGAAATGTTACGCGAACGTGGCACCGCAACCGCGATGCATGTTCGTACATAGCGCCGGTGAAACGGACCCTTACAGACACTGCAGTCGAGATGCTTACTGGACGTATCCTTGTCTATACATGCTTTTGAATTGGAGGGTGTGACGAGAACTCAAATGAACATTCATCGCGAACTTCAAGCCTAACGGCGGATTAAATTCTGTGGCTTTAAACTTGCCATACAATATCGCTCTTCATTACTAATTACCTTTAATCGTACATTGACTGTATTACTACTTCCAGTTCACCTCTGGTAGCGCAAAATCAGAAGTTCGTAGATACCCCAGGTCGATGTCCTCTATGCATATCCGAATCCTCCATCTCCGCGACGCCATCCGGTACGTTTCCTTGACTTCTTGGATCAAGCTGCGGCGGAAGTAGAGGCTCGTTGTGCAGTTCAGCCGCTTCATGAACAACACCGTGAAAGCTATCAGTACCAAGCTCACTCATCGGACTCATGGGCCCCGCACCATGTAGTTCAGCCGAGCGTGTGGAGCGTAGAGGTGCATTCGTGCCAAGCTCACTCACTGGACTTCTCACCCCCTCACTGCGGAGATCGGTGCTGCTTGTCCTGATAGTAGGTCCGCCGGAAGGCGAGTTTGCATGCCAGCCTTGCATTGTTGGGGTCTGAGAGATGGGCGAGGTGGGTGATGATAGGCTCGTTACCGCGTGCGAGCTCATCTCAGGATATCGAGAGTCTATATTGCTACCATGATGATGTGGGTCTGGTCGCTGAGTGGATTGGTAGTATCGCGCGTTTTCGCTGCTTCCACCATGCATCTCCGGAGGTCTGAAGTAACCTGTTTGGGGACGTGGCACTGGTATATCCTCGCTGTGTAATTCGGCTCTCGAGCGTTGACGTACCGGTACACCGGCTCCCATCTCCGAGTATCGACCGAAGCTCGAATCATGCTGGATGTTTGGTAGTTTAGGCTTCGGGCTGGTGTTGCGAGAGGGCTCCCATATATCTGCTGGAGACGCGAGTGAAGATTGGCGTTTGCGACGACGCATAAAGAGGAATATGAGGCCGATGATGAGCGCAATACCCACGGTACCGCCTGCTGCTGTGCCAGCGATAGCGGTGGTACTGAGTGTAGGCGCAGCAGCGGCAGTGGTAGTAGATTTAGGTGCGCCGTTGGAGATCGCAGTGACAGTGACATGTGAGTGAACAGTCACGCCATTCTGTCCCTTTGACGTAGATTGTGCGAGGCGAGTGTCGTTCGGGAGCGGCGCCGGCCCAACTGAAGTCGTTTCTCCTTTTTCTGTAGAGCTCGGTGGTATTGAAGTCGCTGACGGTGGTGGCTGGGATGATGCTTCTGCAGACTGTTCTGTGTCTGTAGAAGTAGCGATCGAGACTGTTGGTACCGTGCTAGACGCATCTCCGTCAGAGTTCGTTGACGTGCGTTGATCAGTGGTAGATGAGAGTATAGTGACAGTGATTGCCGCAGTACTACTCGGTGTTGTGTCCTTGAGCAAATCCTCATAGGTAAACTCATCGTCATAAAGACGCAAAAAGTCCTCCGTATTGTCCTTGCAGGCGGCGGAGAATATAGCGACGTAATCTATGACCTAAGTTCAGTAATCGTTGAGGCATAGGTCTGGCGCAGAATGAAGGCTCACCTTGTCTGTCTTGCAAACTCGGACATGCACTTAAAAGACATGGGCCGTATACTTGGAAGTGTATATGAACAGTGTTAGAAAGGTGACAAATGCCTCCGAGGTCATCAGCGCAAGTGCCATCGAGGACCTTGTACTGCCCGACGAGACATTGTCGCTAGTATTGAGGTAAGTAATAGGCCCTACCGAAATGACTGCGCGTTCGCAAAAAATACTTACTGTACAGTCAGGAAGCGGTAACGGTGGCTTCGGAGGCACACATGATGGATCACGCGCTTGAGCAGCGACGATGCTGATCAGCAAGAATAGCACGTAAAGTATCATGTCGAACGTGAACGTTGGTGGTTCGATCGATTAGAAGAAGAAGAAGCCCATCGAGAGCAGAAGAGATTCAGCCTTACTCGCTTTTAAGTGCAGTCGCCCGCGTTTGCTCTCTCACCTCTCACTCACCCTGCTGCCCAATCATAGCACATCTCTTGCCTCACCTCTTACGAACCAACGGCAAACACACACTCGACGAGACTTCGTAAACGGGTAGCCACATAAAAGCCGCACTTGAGATTGTTTCGTACTACCAGTTCGCATGCACCACCTAGTTCCGTACGACTTAGTCAACGGAGATAAGCCTCAACCTAGCTCGTCGCCCAACGGGCGTCCGCAGGAACTGCTACACGAGTCGCAAGGATATATTCCGAAGCAGTTCACCGGTGGGAACGGGGAGATGTCAATAAAACCAAAACACGCAATCTCAAAATGCACCTCCCCGGTTGTGGCGTGGCTCCAGATCCCCATTTCTCTCCCACTCATCCCGCTGCATTCGTTCAAACTGTGCCCGCGATTCCCTGTCTTGCCGAATGTCGATGGAGTCATCGCCGTAGCTAGGCCGGCGTGCACTGTACTCACTCGCCGAGTCATCTTGCGTATTGCACTGGCCCTGCATGACTTGACTGCCGCGAAGCTGGTTGTTGGGTAGCTCGAACTGGCCGTCATTGTATGGCTTATGACCAGGGTACCTGACGAACGTCGACATGGCGCAGTCTTCGTCGGCTGTACCGTACTCAGGAATTGGGCTCTTAGGAGTTGTAGGGCTGAGGGGGAAGGCAGTCGTGCTCCGCGGCGAACCAACGAGTGTCGCGTCGTTGTAGGTAGATGCAGTACCGTGCCTTGATGCTGCGGCGTCCGAGCCTGCACTGCCGGTTCCCCGGAGATCTGCGAAGTCCTGGATTGATGAGTGGCCTCTCAGGGTGATGATCCTGTTGCTGAAGCCGTCAGGGTTCATAGCATCTAGCATCTGAGCGTTTTCGACGCGCAGCTTCTTGGCCTCCCTCTTTTTCTTCCACCAGAGCCACAGCAATACGAAGACAATACCAAGGACGAGAAGGGCGCCGATGACGATTCCCACAATGGATTGGACGTTGAGCTTGACACCGGGTGGAGCAGGCGCAGCATTCTTGGGGTCACTAGCGGTCGAGTCGGGTGCGGAAGGGAAGGTGACTGGAAGATAGGGCTCCCATCGTTTCGGTATATCGACGAGCTCTTTGTCCACCTTCTTACAGTGGTAGAAGAGACTATCCAGGAACTCTGTAGCGAAGTTAGTGGTGAACGACTTCGATTTGAACTTCACATAACACGACTTACCTTCCCTGCCAATGTCACCGTAGCAAGCGTCGAGAACGCACTGCTGGTTGAACTCAGTATTGTGTTCAAGCGAGTTGCTGGCCTTGCAGATGCAGTCTAAATCGCCCATGACACATAACGCCTCGCCCTGTGGCTTTGTCGTCATGCATTTCTGTGGGATCTAGTATATATTAGCAATTGTGTCGAAGAGTGCAAACGGTGGCGCATACTCCGCAGATTGGTATCTGCCCATCGGCCGGACCCGTCGGAGTTGGCATGACTGTAGCTGTCGAATTGGTGATCGTGGTGGTGAGTCGCGTCGTAGTAGTCTTCCGTGACGCCGCGGAAGTGGTCGCGCTTGTAGCCTGAGTCAGTGTACCCGGTTGAGTAGACGTACTAGGTTGAGAGCTCGTGGTGGTGGTGGGCTGCGCAGTGGTAGAAGTGGAGACTGGGATATGCGGATTGTACTGAGCCCAGGCTCCAGTGAGATCGATCAAGGTCTTACCAATACAGCCTGAAGAGTACTGCTTGAGAAATACTAGCCAATTGTGGGTTAGCTCTCTCACTCATTTCCTAATTCCCTTACTTGGGGCGCGGGCACGGTACGCACGCCTTCTTTTGTCGTCACCGACCAATTCCCTCAATATGCAATCGGCGGAGAAGTACTGGTTGCGGCCAAACTCTTGTGTCTTGTCACAGACGCATCCAAAATACCCAAGAGTGTCCCCGCTGTGGTTCTCGCAGTACAGCCATTTGTGCTCGTTGTTCGGATTGTCCGGCTGGTCTGGGTACATGGTCCCTTCTGCTTCTTCCTGGCACTGCTTGGATATCTGAGCTAGTTAGCTGATCTGCAGCAAAAAACATAGCAAAATTCCACATACTTCATATACAGGCGGTACATATCCAGGCAGGTCCATGGTGGGAGATGCTGGCGCTGGTGTATCGGAAGCGGAAACGGCATCAGGAGCAGGAGGAGTGTACCCTGAGGGGTTGTTGTTGTCCGCCATGTCTCAACTCTGCAGCAGTGAAGTACTCAAGATGTGAAGAAAGATGTGATGAGAGATGTTTGTTGATTCACAACTTCCACACCTTCCAACGTCCTCGTTTAGCCCCCTCAGTACGGTGAGTGAGCGCCGGTCAGGCGATCCGATGTCGGTGACAGAGCCGTCGTCAGAAACTTATCTATATACCCGTAGCGGCGATACTTCACAGCCTTTCTAGAGTAAGTGCAGGGAATCATGCGGTTATAGTTGAGAGATCAAGGGCCGAAGGTGAGTGTACACCGGTGCTTGCGTGCCAGCAATCAATTGCAATTCGTTCGACTCGGAGAGTGCGCATTGGCGCATTGTGGTGATTGATCGCACCTCGGACTTTACTTGCGTGGCACGCAATCACGACGTTCGTTCAAGTCGCCGCACTCGGCGTGCTGGCAAACAGTCCTCGAACGCAAATATCTGTACAATCAGCCAATAACCATAACCATGGGCGTTCGAGACAGGAACAAGTACGAACGGAATTCTGAGAAAGAAATCGTCGAATTAGGTAAGTTGATAGCTGGCAGCACTCCTCGATATGCCTCCAAATCGATAATCAGTCATATCCAAAGAGACCCCAATGTAAACAAAAGAAACCTCGTTCTATAGCTTGTACGCGGAATCCTCGTCTTCTCGATCCGTCTTCGCATGGTATACGCATCTCGGGCGGTCAAAAAGCCAAATTGCTCCATCTGGTATGCCACCTCTTGCGCGTCGCATCTCCATCATCCCATCCAGCCTTGCTTGTCTCGACAACGCGTCTAGAACAAGCAGTCCAAGCAACAGCAGCACGCCAAACCAGCGCACAATCCCGCAAATAGACCGCCACCACCGCCATCAGCCCTCCTGTCGTCCTGGTAGTAGCCGCCTGGAGGCGGTGGGCCCTGCTGGTACTGCATCTGCTGGCCGTTGTATCCTCCTTGGGGAGGTCCGTATTGTCCTTGAGGAGGACCGTACTGGCCCTGTGGCGGTCCGTAGGGGCCAGGCTGGCCTTGTTGGTAGGGGTTCGGGCTGCCGCCGTAGTAGTCGGGTTGGGCGCCGCCTTGGTTGTAGTATGAGGGCTGCATGCCGCCGGGGGCTGGGCCAGCATCTTGGTGCGCTGGTGGGGGATAGGCGGGTGGTGCGCCTTGGTCCTGAGAGAGGGTTAGCACGTGGTTGTGGTTGCGACTGGATTGGATAGGAGATGGGAACGTCGCGCGCATTGCGACAGGAGACGCTAGCGGATGCGAGGCAGACGTACGTATGGTTTAGACATGTTGGTAGTTTGTGAGGATTACAGAGAGTGTGGTGTAAGTGTGATGGACTCCTCGGAAGGCAAAAAGACTGTTACGTCGTTTACTGGGCGGCAAGGCTGGGTAATCTCTTCCAGCTGTCGATCGAACTTTGTTGGGGGTTTGTGCCAGGTGTGAATGGCGATCCTCTGGGAAAAGTGTGAAGAAGGAAGGAATGAAGGGTAAGTAGGGAAGGCAAGGTTTACTGGAGTAAAAGGAAGGAGCGACAAAGTGGTCAGAAGTACAAGTAGAATGCGGAGTTGATCACACACCAGATGTCGCGGCGTACGAAAGAGGGTGGCTGAGCAAACGTGGCGGACCGGCTAAGCCTTGTTCGGAATAGTCTCCATTCAATAGTCCACCGTGAGCGCGAATCGCTATACTCCCAAGGCTTGTGGTACCGTGTTATCCGTGATCATGCATATAGTCGGCTTCGCAGCTATTACAGTATTTCGTAGTCCTACTAGATCAAGTACACAGGGTAGATGTATTGACTGCAAATGCATGCAGCACTTTGCCTGGTGAGTAATCGTTGCAAAACAGCGGGTACATCCAGGGGACATGTCAGAAAGTCACAAATGTCACGCGTAAGAGGATGCGAATATGTGAGAAGAAGAGCGCAGCCAACACGGGCCGCCAGAAACAAGTAATTCTCTCTCCTCCTCGTTGGGGCCATGCCACCAACCCTAACGCCTCGTCCAGCAGATCCAGACTATAATACAATGCTCTACGTTCCACCCAACATCACCTGCCCGTCATCTCAATGGTATCATATCCACCACCTACGTCCCAGTAAAATAGCTCAGGATCCTTCTATGCCTGCACGTCCAGGCCCTCGTTCGCCGGTGCCTGTTGCATCTCCTCGTCCTTGCCCGGAATAATCAGCTCCTCTTTTTGCTCGTCGTCAACAAATTTCCTCTCGCTAACGTGTTCTCCCTCCTTGGGGGCGACCCATTTATTTGTAGTGATCTTCTTCTGACCAGGCTCATGCTTATACAAGCAGCGCGCGTTAAGACATGGGTTGAACTTGCACATGATGGCACTGTGTCCAAACTTGCAGCCCTCGACAGCGCAGTCGGCGCCGTTGTGACAAGGCTTTGATGTGGGATGCTTGTAGGGGCACGACGAGGGATCGCGGCAGTTGGGCCAGAAGGCGCACTCCTGCTCTGATTGGAACTTCTGTCGCTGCGCAGGCGATGGGTGCTTGCCGACACACTTCTTGTTTTTGCATGCCGCACCGAAGTCGCACGTATCGTTCATGTCGACCGGGGTTCCGGGAATCGCAGCGGGCGACTGGTGAACAAAGTGGCAGTCGGGGTTGCTGCATCGCAAGTTGAACTTGCACATGGTGGACGAGGGATCTGGGCGGCCGGAAGGCAGTTCGACGTCCATACCGCTGGCGCTCTCTCCAGCTGGACCATCTGCCATTGTTTCGTCCTCGCCTTCCTTCTTGGTGAAAGTCTTAGCATTCGGGTTCATGCCTCTGCCGCCCTGGTGTGACCGGTCTATGCGTTGATGTAACGACTTCTTAGGTCCGCGGTTGTTGCCATTGAAGTTGGGGTTGACGAAGCCGGTTGGTTGGCCACCGGAGAAAATCTGCTGCATCATCTGCGCCTGCTGCTCGTACATCTGCATAAGGGCCATTTGCTGTTGCGGGTTCAGGCCGATGCCAGGCATGCCATTCTGACCACCCATTCCCGGCATAGGCATTCCTGGTATACCACCCATACCCATACCGTTCATGTTGTTCTGGCCCATGTTCATGTTGGCGTTGCCCATACCGCGGCCATTTGCCATTGCCTCGATTCCGCGACCGATGTTCTGGCCCCGTGGGCCTTTTGGCGGATCGCGGGCGTGCGCGTTCACACGACCAACTCCACCGCCGGCGCCACGTACGCGATGTAACACCGAGTCGCTGTTGCGGTCCATATTCTTATTAAGTTGGTTGAGCATCCGGCCGCCTCGTGCTGGACGTGCTGCTTGGGCACCGCTGCCGTTGCGCATAGCCTTGGGGCCTGTAGGACTGTTTACGGTTAGAATCTGCAGGTTTTGATACGAGGAACGTGAGCGCGGAGGAGCCACGGCAAGCTTCGACGTCGCCTTGATTTGGCATGCGCGTGATTGCGCGGTCTCCTTGCAGTTTTTCCACGGTTGTGGAGCTGCCCTAAAGGGGCGGGAAAGTGGAGGGTTCACATACATATTGCCTTGTCCTTCGGACGCGCCTTCCATATCTGTATCTTGCGCAGCTGCCGAGTTGTCGTTTGAGGTGCTGTCCATCTGGTTCTCGATTGACTGTGTGACCTGCGCGTTGCCGCCGCTCGACTGCTTGAGGTGCTCGATCTGCTCGAATAACCACTGCGCAAACTGCTGTGTCTCTGTGTTCTCCGGGCCCAAGTCGAGCAGATCGTTTGACAGTTCTGATGCGACCTGCGCTTCGTTCTTGTCGTTGGCCAGCATAAGGAGTATGTACTCGAAGAGCGTCGTGTCTTCGCCGCCCGTCGTCCACCCAAACTCGGCGAGCTTGGGCTGGACTACCTGCTGCAGCTGCATCGCCAGCGGCGACTCGCTCGAGAAATCGACAGCCATGGTGAAGGCAGGCGTTGGTTGATGGGCTTGTCGCGTGAATTCGAGGTTGGCGGTGGGTGGAAAACAAAGAGAGCGACGAGGAACGCGACTTCCGTGACGTGTGACGTAAGGCTATCGCGGATACGGAGTGCGACGGTCGTAAGAGATGTGTCGTCAGTCGTGAAGATGGGTGCGCGTCAAGTGCAGCGGGTTGGAGCGTGGGTGTGTGTGGAGAAGGAAGCAATTGTCTCGGAGCGCCTGCTCAAGTTCTGCGCAATCAAAGCTCGGCACTTGCCGCTCCCACTAGCGCCTCGCGTTGCGTCTTGTTCCATCGCCCGCCTTCTTCGCCACCCGATTATACATCAGGATGTGCGCTATGGAGTTGTTCTAACAGCACCCAGAGACGTTGTGTGCTAGATCAAAGCGGATGGTAGCTGCTTTGTGATGCAACTTGTTCAAAACTCGGACCGTGCTGTCATAACAGCCGTTGTCACTGTTGAATACAACCAGACATTTGCAGTACATGTTGCATTTGGAGACGAGTAAGATGTTGCATCACCTCTGCCGATGGTGAGAACAGAAGTAACGCGCGCCAGCGATCAAAGAGAGGCTCTCTTTGACATTTAATGATAGGTGATCGTGTTTTTCAACAGTCGTGGACCAACTCATGGTCATCGTTCTCGAAAGACAGTACAACGTAATACTGTTCACTGAATACTCCAATTGGACTGTCACAGCATCTAGAGCGCTTATCAAGAAATTCATGTATTCGGCCGATCAAGATCACGCATGCGACTGCTCAAACTTGAGGCGTGCCTCTTCCATCCGTTCATCTTCCTCCATCCGAAGCCTCTGTTGCTCGCGTAGTTCATCTGTGATAAGAACACCGGAGCCTGTTGTTCTGCGTTCTGGAAGCTGTTCTTCACTCTCATGCCCAGTCCTCGACATACTAATGTCTCCCGACATCTTCTCGCTGTTCTTGTCGCGATTCCTGGAACCGAGCATGTTCCTCAAGCCATGACTCTTCGGCGCATTTCCACTGGAACG